CGCTGGATCCCTATGTTGACCAAGATACTGGTATTGATCAAGATTGCTCGGTATTTGATGACCAGAAAAAGAAACGACGAGACCCACGTTTTGACCGCCCTCCCCCCGCCGCAGAGGATCAGGGAGGTAGGGACAGTCTCGGAGGTGAGGAGGAGGACCCGTTCTGCTTCGAGGAGCGGTACATCACTGCCGCCACCACGGCGGCCGAGTCCGCACCGGCTGCCCCTTCCCTCGTCCCTTCCCCTCCGCCCCCTGCCCACCCCACTGTCCCTGAGCTTTCTCCTGAGCTCAGGGCCTTAATTCAGAAAAAGAGGGAGGCCGCTCGGGAGAAGAGGTGGTTGCGACAGCGCGCTGCCCTCGGACTTGACCCCAGGCCAGGCTCCCTCTTTGATCGAGCCCCCGCCAGAGGGTGGGACCAGTTCGCCCATCAATCTTCTCAGTGACCCGTTTGGGGTCCCCAAGTACCGGCAGCGAGTCGACTCTTACCGCTACCGATACCGATATCGATACCTCCTCCCTCCTCCCTACTCCCTCCTCCTCATCATCCTTTTCCTCCTCCTCCTCCTCCTCCTCCTTCTCCTCCTCCTCCTCCTCCTCCATTTCCTCCTCCTCCTCCTCCTCCTCCTCCTCCTCCTCCTCCTCATCCTCCTCCTCCCTTTCTCCCTCCCTCCCTCCCTCCCTCCCTCCTTCTCCCTCCTCCTCGTCACGCAGCCGTCGGGACCTCGCAGCCCGGAGCCCCGCCCACCCCCACCCCCCAACGCGCTGGGCCGCCCGCCCCCCGCCCCCCTCCGCGGAGGCGTCGTAGTACGTGGTCAGCAGCTGCGCGGAGGGCAGCGAGGACTGCAGCTTCTTCCGCCACGGGCAGTCCTTGCGGGGCGGCCGTCAGTCAGTCAGTCAGTTAGCCGTGCGTCCAGTAGGACGCGTTGGCACAGGCCTGAGACACGCCAAACACGCGCCTGAAGAGCCGTGCGACACGCGAAACACGTGCAAAGGACGATTGTGGTCAGACCTGAGACACACCAAACACGGCAAAGGAGGGCGGCTGGCAGGCGGATTTGGACACCCGACATGGGCACGGAAAAGATGGGCACAATGCCGAACAACAGATGTTGCCCCAAACCAACAGCGGCCGCTGTTGGGCAGGCGGCCTTCTGTCTCAGATGGACACAGGCCGCGGCGGCGCGGACAGCGAGCCCTGTTCAAAATGAACAGAAACTGCTGTTGGGCACCGTACCCATTCTTTCCGTGCCCATCTCGTTCGTGCGGAGCGGAGGGCAGGAGGGCGGGAGCAAGGGCGAGAGGAGGAGGAGGGATGATAGGGAGCGAGGGAGGCAGGAAGGAGTGGAGCGCCACATTTTGAAAAACACCCGCCCTCCATCTGTGAAACTGTTGTCAATGTTTAAGCTTCAGAAGCATAAATGGTCAGGAAGTCTCAGGCGAAACGCCCAGCCCGCCCTAAAAACTGGCCTCGGGGTGCGACAGGGAGAAATTATCTATTAGGAACAGGAATGGAGGAGGAGGAGGAAGAGGAGGAGGAAGAGGAGGAGGGGGAAGAGGTGGAGGAAGTGAGGAGGAGGAGGAGGAGGAGGAGGAGGAGGACAGGAGAGGAGAAGAGCAAGGAGGAGAGGATGAGAAGGAGACGAGCGTGGGGGGGGGCGTAAAAGGAGGAGGAGGAGGAGGAGGAAAAGGAGAAGGAGCAGGGAGGAAGGACTAAGGAGGGAGGTAAGAGGAAGGAGAAAGGACGAGGAAGGACGAGGAAGGAAGAGGAGGCTCGGGAGGGATGAGAACACGGAGGAGAATGCACCCTCCGCCCGTCCCGAGCCACCTTTCCCGACCAGAGACCCAGCCTTACACCCGGGCCCCGTCCACCCAGGGGGGGTCCTCGCAGCCGCCCAGAGGTCGAGGAGGAGCAGCAGCAGGAGCACCAAGAGGAGAAGGAAGACAACGACGGCGACGTAACCGACGAAACCGACAATCATCCTGGCGAAGGACCCAACCATATGCAGCTGTGAGTACCGCGATGTGGGTACCGCTCTCGGTGGAACCTCCTATGAGGCCACGATCCTCGTGAGGGGCGTGCCGAACTGGGCGGGGGGACGCATGCAAACCCTGCCGCTGAGGCCTTCGGTGGAGCTCCCTATGGGGCCACGATCCTCGCGAGGGGTGTGCAGAAATCAGCGGGGGGACGCATGCAAACCCTGCAGCTGGGGCCTTCGGTGGAGCTCCCTATGGGGCCGCGATCCTCGTGAGGGGTGTGCAGAAATCAGCTGTGGGACGCACGCAAACCCTGCCGCTGGGGCCTTCGGTGGAGCTCCCTGTGGGGCAACGATCCTCGTGAGGGGTTGCAGAAATCAGCGGGGGGACGCATGCAAACCCTGCCGCTGGGGCCTTCGGTGGAGCTCCCTATGGGGCAACGATCCTCGTGAGGGGTGTGCCGAAATGGCGGGGACGCATGTGCAAACCCTGCCGCCGGGACCTTCAGTGGAGCTCCCTATGAGGCCACGATCCTCGTGAGGGGCGTGCCGAACTGGGCGGGGGGACGCATGCAAACCCTGCCGCTGAGGCCTTCGGTGGAGCTCCCTGCGGGGCCGCGATCCTCGTGAGGGGTGTGCCGAAATGGGCGGGACGGCGCATGCAAACCCTGCAGCTGGGGCCTTCTGTGGAGCTCCCTACGGGGCCGCGATCCTCGTGAGAGGTGTGCCGACATGCGGGGGACGCATGTGCAAACCCTGCCGCCGGGACCTCCGGTGGAGCTCCCTATGGGGCCACGATCCTCGTGAGGGGTGTGCAGAAATGGGCGGGGGGACGCATGCAAACCCTGCCGCTGAGGCCTTCGGTGGAGCTCCCTATGGGGCCACGATCCTCGTGAGGGGCGTGCCGAACTGGGCGGAGGGACGCATGCAAACCCTGCCGCTTCGGTGGAGCTCCATATGGGGCCGCGATCCTCGTGATGGGTGTGCCGAAATCAGCGGGGGGACGCATGCAAACCCTGCCGCTGGGGCCTTCGGTGGAGCTCCCTATGGGGCAACGATCCTCGTGAGGGGTGTGCAGAAATCATCAGGGGGACGCATGCAAACCCTGCCGTTGGGGCCTTCTGTGGAGCTCCCTACGGGGCCGCGATCCTCGTGAGAGGTGTGCCGACATGGGGGGGACGCATGTGCAAACCCTGCCGCCGGGACCTTCGGTGGAGCTCCCTATGGGGCCACGATCCTCGTGAGGGGCGTGCCGAACTTGGCGGGGGGACGCATGCAAGCCCTGCCGCTGAGGCCTTCGGGGGAGCTCCCTGTGGGGCCGCGATCCTCGTGAGGGGTGTGCCCAACTAGGCGGGACGACGCATGCAAACCCTGCCGCTGGGGCCTTCAGTGAATCTCCATATGGGGCCGCGATCCTCGTGATGGGTGTGCCGAAATGGGCGGGGGGACGCATGCAAACCCTGCCGCTGGGGCCTTCGGAGGAGCTCCCTGCGGGGCCACGATCCTCGTGAGGGGTGTGCCAAAATGGGCGGGGGCGGACGCATGCAAACCATGCCGATGGGGCCTTCGTAAAGCTCCCTATGGGGCCGCGATCCTCGTGAGGGGTGTGCCGACATGGTGGACATGCGGCGAGCAGGAGCAGGAATGGGAGGAGGGAGGAGGGGGAGGGGGCAGTGGGAGGAGGTGAGACGCGGGGCGCTGTATCTTCAAAACGAGGACCCAACACCACAGGATGGCTGGGAAAAACGACAAAACGGCGACGGCGGCGGCGAAGTCGACGGCTGCGGCGGCGACGAGGGCGACGGCATCCTTCCCAGCCGCCCGAGGAGGTTTTAACAAAAAACGCCCCAAGAATCGCGCGCACCCTCGCCTGTGGGTTCGGATTCGGCTCTCGGGCTTCTCGCGCGAGCCGTCCCGACCGAGCTTCCCGAGGCATCCTCTTCCTGCCCGTCCTCCTCCCCCTTTGTCTCCGACGCGTCCATCTCCTCCTCCTCCTCTTTTGTCCTGGGTGCTCCTGGGGGCGGGCCAAGCAACCGCACACCTCCTGGCCGAAAAACAATTCGTCAATCCTCCTCCCGAACAGGCTTGCCTGTGTAGGGATCCCTATTGTTGAGGACACGTTCCATGTATCGTCGCCGACTCTTGTGGGCCGCGGCGCCTTTCATTAGAGTACCCTCGCAATCTCGCAGCAGCGTCTGAGCTCGAGACTTGGCGAAGGCCCCACAAACAACACACAGGGCGCACCCCACTCTCTCGACCACCTCGTGTCGACGCAGCGGGGGTGGGGAAGCCAAACTCGGGTTCGTTTCGGCCCCCCCGACCTCGGCTCCCGAAACAAAACTGGACCTGTTTGGACCGCCGCCCCCGTGGATCAGGGTCATTGAAACCAGACGGGCCCTGCCTTTGGCAAACGCGCCCTCCCAACCTGGACAAAATTCCTCGCGGGCCGCTGCTAGTCGACTAGGAAGGAAGACTGTGCGAGGGCAGGCCGTACACTTCCAGGTGCCACCTTCCAACGGCCTGAGCCTGTGGATCCGCTCGGGAGCGACCGCGGGACGGGCGCCCCGCACCTTTTTTCCGAGCTCACCCAGCGGTGAGAGGAGGCATGCTCGCGGTGGCAACCTTGGACTCAGACAACTTCACGCGAAACGAGGCTACAAAACTCAAAACCCGACGCACGAGTTTCAAATCAGCCTTAGCCCGGTCAGCTCGCCACTGCGGTGCTGCATGCTCCTCAGCGCCTTGCCTCGCGCGGGAGTCAGCACACTTATTCATCAGGAACGACACTAGAGCCTCCCCCATCTAGGTGGGCTCTCTGCGCGACGGTTTGGTGAGACTTGATTTCAACAATCTGGAGGTTCACCCTCGGCACGAGCCCATGGTCCTCCAAGACAGCCCAAACCTTACGCCACATATGTGCGTTATCTGGTCGCTCCTCTCGCAAACTTCCCTACCAGCCAGGAGGCCTTCAGCAGTGGACTTACTGTCTATGATGAGCCCCTCGAGCCCCACTGAGTTCCGCACGGCCTGGAAGACGGCCCTGATCTCGCAGTGGGCCGACGTGTGCCGTGAGACGGGAACGCTCCCAAAGACAGCCTGACGCTCACCGTTTTTCTCACGATCCCAGCTGATGGCGGCGAAGCCTCCTGTGGATAGCTCATCTACGTCGGGACAAAACACGCATCCGTCCGTGGCGACCCAGCCCGACAAGACGCGGTCACCGCCCAAGTCCCCGAACGTGTAGGCATCAGGAGGAGTCGGGACGACGTACTCGCCTACAGGGTCTGGGATGAGGCCCCGCGCCCACTTCCAGTGTAGCAGGTCACCGTCGCGACAGCGCTGCTCCTCTCTGCTGGCCGCCGTCTCGCGCAGATGGACCACGTCTCTGAAGTTGTACTTCACCACAGGGTCCGTGAGCTCACTCCTGATCTTCTCACAAACCTCCGAATCGCACTTGTAGTAGACATGCATCAGTGTGCCTTCCACCTTGTTACACAAAGGGCACAGCGAACTCTCCACTTCCCCACGCTCGTAGCACACAACCTGTGATGGGTACCCGCCCAGAGCAGCAGCGCGGGCGCAGTTGATGTGGTGCCGAGTCCAGGTGTCAGTCTTCTTGGCGCGAATGAGCTGCTTGACGGGCAACAGAAATGGCTTGGGACGAAGAAGCCGACGATCCTCCTGCGCCCATGCCCAATCAGATAATTACTTGCCTGTCCATGATGGGGTGCTCGGCCCGTCTCAGCACCTCCAGCGGCGAAACTTCACGAATGTCAATCAGCTCGTTGGATACCTGGAAGTGCCAAGGGTCAGTCATGATCCATCCTATCTCATGCGCCGTCATCATGGTGGCAGCTGCTGGGCCCTTGAATATCCTCCAATGGTCGAAAGCGTCGGGAGCTGACTTTAAAGCTCGCTGCAGCGCTGGCCACTGACGGCCCCAGGCGTGGGCCATGACCTTGTGGCGGCCGGCGCAGCCCCACGCCTCGCACGGCCAGGCTCGCATCGGCGCCCGCCGCAGCTGCTCGGCGCCGTCCGTCCTGATGGCCAGCGCCCTGCCTAGCGTGCCCGGACGGAAGGCGCCCGCGCCCGCGCGCACTGCAGCCGTCTTCGCCTCCCCGAACCTCATGATGGCTGGGGAGCTCCCTGTGCAGGACGCGCCGTAGGCGACCGACGCCTTCAGGCCCTGCTGCACCACTGGTCGTACTCGAACTCCCCGACGTTTCAGCGCTGCCGCTTTGCGCCACCTGCCCCGAGCGATCTTCAGCCGCTTGGCTCGGGTGGTGCGCCTGCGCAGCGCCTGCGGCTGGTAGTCGGCGCCCAGCCACCGCTCGCTGGTGCCGTGCTGCAGGCCGACATCCTGGAGCTCCGTGCTCACGCGGTCAGTCAAACCGACGTGGCTGGCCACGAACTTGGACTTCCCCTTCAGCCCCTTCGAGACCTTCGAGACCTCTCTCCAGTAGGGTGATCATGGCCTTGACCACTGCAAGGAAAGTGGCTCCCAGCTGCTTCAAGGTACCGACAAGGCGCAGCGCCAGGCCGTCCACGAACTTGGTGATCTCAAGCTTCGCGCCTGGCCATGGCAGGATAAGGTCCAGGATGGGGTACAGCACGACTTTCAGGAAACGGTTGGCATACTTTGAACAAACTGGCAATCCCACGCAGGTGGTGCTGGCGTCCGCCAACGCCTGGCCTTTGCGCACCATCCGTGGGAAGGCGTAGGATTCCAGCGACACATGATCATCATTGCCACGGCCATCATCCGACCCCCCCCCACCCCCCATCATCCTCGTCCCCCTCTCATCCTCTTCATCCTCTTCCGCCTGCTCGTCACCATCCTTAAACCACCAGCGTAACTAGCTACACCAACTCCCTGATCCTCCTAATACGCTTCCGTCCAACATGACTCCTCATCTTCCTCCAGATCCTCCTCATCCTCCTCAACATCTTCCTCCTGGTCCTCCTCCTCATCCTCATCATCAGCATCAGCAGCAGCAGCATCATCAGCATCAGCAGAATCATGATCATCATCTGCATCATCATCATCATCATCATCATCATCATCAGCAGCAGCAGCATCATCATCATCATCATCATCATCATCATCATCAGCAGCAGCAGCAGCATCATCATCATCATCATCATCATCATCATCATCATCGTCATCATCAGCATCATCATCATCATCGTCATCATCATCATCATCATTAGCATCATCATCATCATCATCATCATCATCATCATCATCATCGTCATCATCATCCTCATCCTCATCATAATGATCATCATCATTATTATCAGTATCATCATCACGATCATCATCAGAACCATCAGCATCATCATAATCAGGATCAGCATCAGCAGAATCATCATCACCATCAGCAGCGCATAATCATCATCGTCAGCATCGTGAGACCATCCTCATCTCATCAACATCATCATCATCATCATCACCACCACCACCACCACCATCACCATCACCATCATCTACGTCATCACAATCATCAATATCATAATCATCATCCTCATCAGCAGCTGCATCACCACCAACATCATCATCAGCATCATCATCGTCATCGTCATCATCAGCACCACCAACATCATCAGCATCATCGTATGCAGCATCATACTAATTAGAATCATCATCAGCATCATTATCATCAGCGGCACCATCCTCACGTTCCTCGGAATCATCATCAGCAGCAGCATCATCATCGGCATCAGCATCAGCATCAACATCAGCATCATCATCATCATAGTGATCAGTATCGTCAGCATCGTCATCGTCATCATGCTCAGCATCAGAATCACACTCATCAGCATCACCATCATCAGCAGCATGATCATCAGCATCATCAGCATCATCATCGTCATCATCAGCAGCATCATCATCCTCATCGTCAGCATCATCGCCATCACCATCATTAGCAGCATCATCATCATCCTCATCATCATCACCATCATCATCAGCATCATCAGCATCATCAGCATCATCATCATCGTCATTCAGCAACAGCATCATTATCAGCATGATCACCATGACCTTCATCATCATCACCATCGCCATCACCAAGATCATCAGCAGCATCACCAGTAACGTCGTCATCATCGACATCGTCATCATCAGCATCGTCATCAGCATGAGCATCATCAGCATCGTCGTCGTCATCGTCATCGTCATCATCATCATCAGCATCATCATGATCAGCATCATCATAGTCATCATCATCATCAGCAGCATCGTCATCGTCATCATCATCGTTCATCATCATCCCCCTAATCGGCCTCAATGGCATCATCATCCTCAGCATCATCATCTTCAGCAGCATCACCATCACCATATCCATCAACATCCTCATCATCATCGGCATCATCAGCAGCAACAGCATGAGCAACATTGTCATCGTCACCATCGGCTCACTATCAGCTCATCAACATCATTGTCAGCATCATCACCATCAGGCCATTAGAAGTACCATCATCATCATCATCATCACCATCAGCAACACCAGCATCATCAACATCGGCATCACCATCATCAGCATCATCAGCAGCAGCACATTACCGATATCATCAGCATCATCATCAGTATTACCATGATCATCCGCATCATCCTTACCATCATCATAATCATCATCATGGGCATCATCATCGTCATCGTCATCATCATCAGCTTACAAACATATCACCATCAGTATCAGCATCATCATCATCATCATGATCATCGTCATCATCATCATCATCATCATCATCAGCATCAGCATCAGCATCAGCATCAGCATCATCATGTCCACCAGCATCGTCATCTTCAGCAGCAGCAGCATCCTCTGCAGCATCATCGTCACCAGCAGCAGCAGCAACATCATCAGCAGCATCAGCATCAGCATCAGCATCAGCATCAGCATCATCGTCAGCATCAGCTTCGCCATCGCCACCATCACCACCACCACCACCACCACCCAGAACGAATGCCTCCACTGCTTGTTCGAGGGCCTAATCAGGCCCCCACACGCACGGATGCCCTGTGGCGTCCCGCGGGACCCTTGCGGCCCCTGCGGGACCTCCACACGGCCCACGGGGCCCCACCAACAAGGACCCCAAACGACGGCCCCACGGGCCGCCGAGGCGGCCGCAGAGGCGCCCCAGGACGGCCCACGATGGCACCGACGCTCCCCAAGAGGCCCCCGAGGCGCCCGAAGGGGGGCCCCACAGGAACGCAAAGAGGGCCCCAAGAAGCAGCGACCATTGTGCTCCGCTGGCGGGTGAGAGTTGGCGCTCTCGCCGCGTCTGCCTTCCAGCGCTCCAAGGCGGCCCAGGAGGCCCCCGATACTGCCCCAAGGCAGCCCAAGAGGCCCGCAAGAGGGCCCCACGACGGCTCAAGAGGGCCCACAGACCGCCCAAGAGGGCCCCAAGACGGCCCAAGAGGGCCCCAAGAGGGGGAGCAGGAACTGGCATCCAGAGCCCTCCGCCCCAAGGTTACCCCCGAGACTGTCAGCAGCCACCCAAGAGTACCCCAAGAGGCCGTCAAGAGGGCCTTGCAAAGGTCCACCAAGAGGACCGCAAGCCCCCCCGCCCCCCAGAAACATCCAGAAAGCCTCAGGAGGCCCCCTGGAAGCCCCAGAGGCCTCCGAGAGGCCGCCGAGGGGCCTCCGAGGGGTATCCCAAAGAGACTTGAGCACACATCAGAGAGGCTTCTGAGCCACAACCCAGCCGCGGTGACAGGATGGAACGGCGGCAACGGAACACTCGTATACCTAGTTGATTAGAAGTATACTCGCCACCGCGCTTTGCAGCGATAGGTGTGTATCGGGCCCCCATCGCTCCCTGCGCAACAATAGGTGGGCCCCCCACGGCGCGTCGAGCCCAAGATGCGTTCATTTGTATAACCAAGTCCATGCGTGTATGGCCTTCCAGGCAGGAAGTGTGCCTAAATACAAGGTTGGGGAAAGGACGACCCCCCCCTCCCGCCCCCCCCCCCCCATCCGCTCCCCTAGGCGCCCACCCGAGCGCGGGTCAGCGCCACTGGAAAAAAAGCTGTATTAGTACAAGTGCCATCTCCACCACCACTATCACTACCAGCACCATGATCGCGATCATGATCACCATCAGCATCATCATCAGCAGCAGCAGCAGCATCATGAGTATCATCGCCAACATCAGCTCATTACCAGCTCAGTATCATCATCATCAACAACAGCATCATCATCAGCACCACCATCATCAACAGCAGCAGCATCATCGTCATCGTCACCATCATCATCATCATCATCATCAGCAGCAGCAGCAGCAGCACCATCATCATCACCATATTCCCCCATCATCCCTGTTTTTATCTAAAAAGTCAGACTGTACTTCATCTTACGTGTTGATCATCTGATCCGTCATCGTCATGACAGTCTTCCCTTATGCTCTTCCTCATCCTCCTCTTCGTCCCTCTCCTCTGCCGAGCGCCACTCGTCATCGTGGACGATGCTTCGAAACTCGAGGCCGGCAGCTATTCCTCCTTCTCCTGGTCCTCCTCCTCCTGGTCTTCCTCATCCCCCTCCTCATCATCATGGCCACCACCACCACCACCAACACCACCACCACCATCATCATCATCATCATCATTATCATCATCATCATCATCAGCATCAGCATCAGCATCAGCATCAGCATCATCATAGTCAGCATCATCACCACCACCACCATCATCATCATCATCAGCATCAGCATCATCATGAGCAGCATCAGCATCATCAGAATCATCATCAGCATCAGCCTCAGCACCATCATCATCAGCAGCATCATCATAATCAGCATCATCATCATCATCATCATCATCATCAGCAGCATCATCATCGTCGTCGTCGTCAACCTCCTCTACATAATCTGCATCATCAGCAACAACAGCATCATCGTAATCCTGATCATCATTCCTCCGTTCGTCCTTCTCTTTCATCTCCTCTCCTCCTATCGCCGCCCCCATCCACCATATTACCTTGTGACGGCGTCTCTGGCTGCAAGCCCTCACTGTCTGCCTCGGCTGAACAACCTCAGGCACACCGCCCCTCCCGAATCCCAGATCTGAACCCCGCGCGTCGAGACTGCTCTTGCTGGCATAACCATACGCTGGACCCATCACAAGAATGAGAGCATGACGGGCACATGTAGGAAGACGCTTGGTGAAGAGATCCCGAGGATGAGAAGCCCGTGCTCTCGCTGCTTGCGGAACAAGGAGGAGGAGGAGGAGGAGGAGGACAACGACGACGACAAGAGGAGGAGGGAGAGCGAGAGGAAGGGGGCAAGGAGGAAAGGGAGAAGGGGGCAAGGACAGATCATGCCGCGGAGTCTCCAATCCCTCCCCCATCTTCTGTCTAGAACTTCGCACCGCATTTTCCAGTCCAATTTGAGTCCTGAATCGGTATGGAGATCCGCAGGCGATATCTCAGCTTCAATTCGGCGAGGTGGGACATCACATCGGCAAGGTAAGCCTCTGTGAACGGAGGGTTGACACAGACGATCGAGTTGACCGGCAACAAAGACATCACGGAAGGATACTTCCCTGGGAGCCGTTTGTGCGTCGCGGTGCATTCCAGGGTGCTCGACAGCCCTTTCTCGACCTGAGCACGTCGGGGGCGCAGAAAGCATACAACAAGCCAATCGGAGAGGTCCCGTCAGCATGCAGTCCGCCGCCGGCACTCCGCCGCTGTGCATGACAGTGTGC